CCTGCTGAAAAGGAATCCTGGGGCCTCAACCACTGTTGACAAAAATAAGTTGTTAGCGACATGATATTATTTTATGCTTGTTGTTCTTCTTTGCTAATTCTGAACTTGTTGTATTTCATCTATTTTGAACACAAGCTGGTAAAATGAGAAAGCAAACCCAAGCTGGTGAGGGTGTTTTAACAAAGCTTAGGTTCAGAGATGATGAGTTGAAAACTTGGCAGATCTCTGAGAGCTATAAAAATTACTATGTTTTATTCAAGATACAGTTGTTTTCATGGATCACAGAGGTGCTTGAAAGTGGAAATACTGTTTTTTTTCTCCTGCTGAGTACAATTCATTGTAGGTTTTTTTTTTTCTCATGGGAAAGAATGGTACCAGTTTCAATAAAACTTGCGTTGGGAAGGAGTGTTCAGGAGCAGGTCATTTGCCATGCTGGGGTGCGTCTCTGTCCTGTTCCTCCAGACGTTCTCCAAAAACACATGATGAAGGACAGTAATGGGGAAGAGGAGGTGGCAGCAAGAAGCTTATTCTGTGGCTTGCAAGTTGGGCATTTGCTCGGGACGTACAAATCCTGGATTAAATTTTTGAACTCAGTTTAAAGAAGCAAGCTGCTTGTTTCTTAATCAATGGGGGCCTTTGCTGTCATTCACAAGATGAACTTAGGAATTAATTGACTGTAGGCTTTCCTGTTGTTCTGCAACTCATCACGGCTTCCATTTTTGAAGTTTCACAAAATTAAAATGAGATACAGACAAAAAAACCCCCCCAATCTGTTGTTAGATCTGGGTTTCAGTTCTAGTTTTATCATCACGTGGCTGAACACAAGAACAATTTTAGAGATTATAAAGATCATAGGGCACATGTAAGATTAATTCTCAATCTAAGTGAGTTTGTGGACAGAATTAGTTTTTCCAGCATGTGTAGCTGTAAGAGCCCATAGCTAAATCTTAATTTTAGTGGTTAATATTCTTCATTAGATGTTAGATGTTACTTTTTCTCTCACTCAACGTATTTCTTGTAAGTATGGAGGAACTAGTGAGTTGATAATTTTTACATTAATGAAAAATTTTCTCTTAGAACCTACTGTAGAGCAAAAAATATTTCAAAATTTGGCAGTGTTTTTGAAATATTGTTTTTAATTTACTAAAAAGTGAATATTAATGATAATATTTTGTTTTAATACTGAATAAGAAAAAGTGGAATTCACATGCGGATATAGAAAGCCAGGATAAATGTATGTAGTACAGTAGCCTTAAGCATCCCTTATAGCAAAACAATATACCTGCTGAAAAAGGGGGTTGAAGTGAGTTTAGATTACTTTGAATGCATCAGTGATGAACATTTCTTACAGCACTGTCTGAGAACTTCAATGTAGAAAATTAAGAAGGTGAATAATGTCCTGTTGACAACTAGATTTGTAACTGAAAAGCAAGGAGATGTTTTCAGACAAGGGTGGAAAGACTGAACAGCACTAACTTTGCTGCAGAGGAAAGGAAGGAAGAGGGTAATAACTAATGTTAAAAGTCTTTGGAAGGTTATAAAGCAAGCTGTCCCAATAGGAAGTTTGTGGGATAACATTGAGCAGAATTTGGTGATTCAGTGACTACTTGTCATACACACGTCATCAGTATCTTTGAGAAAACTTTAAGAATTAATACAACTCTGGAATTTTTTTAATACTTAGATTCCTGTATTAAAGTAGGAACTTTATTTCTTAAGATTTATTTTCTACTGCTGCAGCACTTGCATCCTAATTACTGTGGAAAAGATTGAGAAGTTGTGAAACTTATTTTTTCTACAGATACCTCATTTTTATTCAAGTGAAAACATCCTTTTCTGTATGTGTGCTTTAGTAACATAAATATAATTGTCTATGCTTAACAAAATATGGGGAAGTATTTATCCTCAAGGTACTAACTGAAGTTTTAGCCAAGCAGCAGGAAGGTGAAAATCAGTCTTCTGGTAAGCAGAAACTCAGTGAATTAATACAAAAAATGTATGTTTTCAGTCGAGTCCCAAGTGGGCAGGTATCTCTGTGCTGAATGACTTGTGGGTTGGCAGTTTGCAGAGATCACTACTTGCATGGGCGATGAGGATGGACTGGTTTTCTCAAAAGGGCTGAGGAAATGTTTGCTAGAGAAGAACAGGAGAGTGTCTGTGGCTGCTGCTGGAGGAGCAGGCTTGTATTTTCTAGCACTTTCACCCCAATTTAGGAAAGAATGCAAAACTCTCTGTGATGTGAAATACTGAGTCCCCAAGGCCTCCTTCTGCAGCCATCACTGTCTGAAGAGTCCTGTGGATTTCAAACTCTTTTTATAACTAAGGGTTGCAGGCACTGCGGCTTAATGACCTCTGAAATGGAATTTTTTTCCTTGCAAAATGCTGTACTGTATACTTATGATGTGTAAGAATTACTGGGCCATTGCTGAAACAGGAAATTTGATACACTTGCTAACACTTATTGCTATCTTAATTCGTCACTCTACAATATATTAAAGCACAAGTATGCTGCTAGATGTGTTTCATTACAGTCTGTGGAAATACATATAGTATCTTGTTAGGCACATTAATATACAATATACATTTATATGTTAAAATAAATAACATTTTAGACTTAAGCTAATCATATTGCACAGGCAAAAGAAAGAAGCAGCTGTATATATGAAAGAATAATCCTTTTCTTTACTTAATGGTAGTAGTTGTCATTACAAAAAAAAAAAAAAGTAGAAAGTAGCACTTTGGGAAGAGAAAAAGATCCTGAGGATTTTTGACCTTAAATGCCAAAAGAAAAAAATAAAAATCCCCAAACCTAGCTTTCATTTATAGAAATTGTTAAAATAAAGTAGTTTTTACTTTTCTCTCAAAATAAGCAGGGAAGGTTGTTTTCTGTTGGATGAATCCACCAAATATTTAAAGTTCAGGAACACATATGACACATCATCCATTTTTCTTGATGCTGCAGGTCTTTCTAGAAAATGTGTTTTCTGCTTCTAGTTTCTGTGTGATCAAATACTTACTGTGGTATTTTTTTAAGGTTTGATGTGTTGGTCAGTCCTATTTTGATGTATTTATTAGTGACTTTGCAATAAGATGTAGGTGTGCACTTACGGAGTCTGCAAATGATATGAAGGTGGGCAGCATTGCTGAGCATGGAAAGACTTCCAGCTCTTCAGGGGTGCAGGAGAATGGGATGATTTTATTACTGAGTAGTAGAAATGCAAAGGAATAGAGCAAAGTTATAGGGGATGAGTTCGAAACTCCTCAATTAGCTGTGTTGGATAAAAATAAAGAGAAATGGGTTCTTTGTCTACTAGGAAGCTGGTGGTAAACTGTGAATGTGATTCATCTGTCAGTGATGATTTGGGTGCTGTAAGCATGTTATTTGTAGTAGAGACAGGGAAGCATCAATGTTATTTTAATAGGCCTTGTTAATATCTCATTTTGAGCCTGTGGTCACCTGTGTTCACAGAAAAATGAAAACAGGAGTGATGCATATGAGAGTGAGTGGGGTGATGAAGGGAGGAGAGATCCTGTCTTGTAAGTGGCAGGAAAGGACTTGAGCACATTTGTCCTAGCACAATATGGGAAGGGATTTGGTAACTAATCATAAAAATGATTTCACAAGGAAATACAAAGGAGGGACAAAAATAAAAGTTAAAGCACAATGTAAGTATAAATAAATTTCTACAAGTAGATTCCAAATACATTGGGACTGGAAATTTGACCAGCTTTCTAGCTATTTGGGGGATGGAGCTGTGGCATAAGCTTACAAGCACCTCTTTGGAGATAGGGAACCTGAACTGGTTTTTCATTCTCCACTTTATATTTATTAACTGTCAAGGTAAAGGCAGCCCTAGTCTGTGACTGAAGTTTTTCAGGTGCTTGTTGCTGTCTGTCAGAGGTTGCAGGGAGGCTGAAACACTGATCTTTGTGATGCTTCATGCAGCATGTTTACACTGAAGGATCCCATGCCTCAAAGTGTCTGGGGTGGCCTGTGGGAGCTCCTCTTCGTCACTGAGTGTTTATTCTGCATTTCCCTCCCCATCCCCAAAGCATGAGTTACTCTGCGGAAGCAGAATATTGGGTGGGCTGTAATGAAAAACCTGAGGTGCCTAGCTGGTGTGTCTTTATCTTTTCATACTCACTGCTGGTTGAAATAATTTGCCTCAGTCCAACCAGTGTTGTTGAAGAGGAAAGAGAGGATTTGGATCATCTGAGTATTTTCACAGAGCAATTCTTCCATCCTTTCATACTCAGATGAGCCATAATATGCAGGATATTGAGAAACATTTACTGTGTAGCAGAAATGGTTGTAAGGAGTAATGCTTTAAAATGTTGTGGGCTGGCAGCTTATTAAAGAGAACTAGATTTATCTAGTCCAGTTCTGTGGCCATGTGCCTCTTCTGATTTGAAGATGGCTTCTATAAAGTGCCACTATTTCTGGTGGTTTACCTGAAAAAATGAGGTGGAAGGAAGTGAGGTAGTCTTCTAAATGCTGGTAGTTCTCTGCAAACCTGCTTTTTCTATTGAATTACAAGTCTAGATATTAATTTGAGTGTTACAGAGATCTGTGTAAAAGATAATACTATCTGCTCTCATAGTAACTGCATGTATAGAAATTGTTATTAAGTTGTCAACCCTTATATTAGCAAGTTATTTTGCATTTTCAGCCCCTTTTTATAATGGAAAATGTGTCTTCCAGAGTATACTATTGAATAAATTTGAAAGATGCAAAATACATGCATTAAACTGTCAATTTTCCAATAAAATAATAGCATGCCTGAAGGTTGGTATGAGTAGTATATACTTCAGTTACTATCTGAGCATTTATTTAATTACACTATTTCATATAGTTTGTAGGTAGCTTGTATTTAAAAACTAAAAATCACCATAATGCAGTAGTGTGGTGCATGAAACCAGAAAGAAAAAAACAGAAGGAAAGGTGTTGATACATTTTCTCTTTTCCCTTTCCCTGCCTCCTTGTATCAGGAGCTGCTGAAATGGGTTGTGGATTGAACAAACTAGAGAAGCATGATGAAAAACGACCTGGTAATATCTATTCAACTTTGAAGAGGCCACAGGTAGAAACCAAGATAGATGTTTGCTATGAATATCAATTCCTGGACTTCACGACACTAAATGATAGTAAGTACACAATGTTTTTCTTTAGATTTTTTTTCTATTCAAATTAACATGTTAATTGCTCCATAATGTTTTTTGAATAGTAGTTAGTTTTTAAAATGTCTTTGGTTTCTTTAAGTAAATGCCTTCAGTCATAATGCTTATGTGCAGAGATCTGATTGAGAATTTTCTGTAAATTTTTAACCTTAGAGCTAGTTATAGGCTATCAGATTTTAGGTTCCTTTACCCCCCTACTTTTTTCTTTGTGTGTGTGTTACTTTAATATGGATGATTGTTTCCTTAATTTGCATTTTATCCAAGTTTCGTATGGTAAAGCAATTCGGGTCTGCCAGGTTATATACTTTACTGCTCTCTTTTCTTACTCCCCTTCTGCTCCCTGTGCTCCCTCAGGAGTATTTTGAGAGGTTGAAGTTAGTGTTTTCAGTTTTGCTAACATAGCTTACATAACTCCTACATGGTTACAAATACTTAGAGGTGCACCCATGGGGGTGGAAACAGGGTAGTGGGAGACACTGAAGACCTAATGCATCAAAGGGGTGAAGGTCTACATGCAATTTTTACCTTTGTTGTTTTTTTTCTGTTTGAAATAGTCTTGCTTTTAATTCACATGACAATCCACAGATATTCCATTTCTTTCCTTCCTGATTGACATCAAGCATCTCTGCCAGTATTGCTCACACCATCGCCTGTGCCCTCTTTCACTTCAAAATTAGCCTGTTCTCCAAGCAATTACTCCTCACACCATTTGGAAATCTGAAGCTTGAGCAGAAGGCTGGGACCTGCTTCTTGCTATATATAAAACAACACAGTACCAAAATCTGTTACAGCTAGTTGGCAGGATGCCAGCTAGAGCCTCTATGCTTTTGCCCTGCGGTGTGCTGCTGCTTCTCTTGTTTTGCAAGTCAGGTCAAAGGAAAAGCCAAAGTGGTATGTGTCTCACTGTGTGAGACAAAGAGCTGCTGGTACGTCGCTTGATGTGACGCCTCTAGTGCAGTTCAGTATGTTCATCCCAGAGTAATATGAATTTGTTGTTTTTTAAAATTTGCTGCAAGTGAACTTGAACTTGGAAAAAGGTGGAGGATTGGAATAGGCAGTTGGACAGGAGTGCATTTTTTTATGCAATGTGGGAGCTAAGAAGTTTTGTCTTCACAGACTTTTCTTAGTGCCTATCTCCCACACTCATGGATTCTTATGTTTTTCGTTACACTGACTGGGATGCACTGCAGTTATTGAGAGCACCAAACAAATGAGAGGAATTTTTTTCATGTTTATGTATTGCAGTTGTTTCTATGTTTATGTATTTTTATTTTGAAGTGAACTGTTTATGTCCTTTGATAGTTTGACAGCTTTTACTGAGATAAGCTGTACATTGTGTCATTAGTGAAAATGAATTAGTATTGAGGACACACTTCTGTGGGCTATTCTGGGATGCTCATCACTGTTTTGTCTGACTACCTCACAAGCTTTAGCGTGTGCATTCTCCCGATACCTCATGAGTCTCGTCTTTGTCACTGTATGGAGGAAGAATCAGTACATGCGATAGCAATGTGACTTGCCTCAGGCACATAGGATGTCTGGCACAGAGCAAAAAATTAAACCCAGACTTTCCAAGTCTGATTAAATGGATGGGTTTGTTGTAAAGCATACTTGTACGTTTTTCTTACTCATCATAGATTGCTTTATTATGATTTTAGGAGGCATGGTTTTAAGGAGACTGTAATTGAAGTACTTTTATCAAATTCTTTGGCTCGCCAAAGAGTGTAAGCTATCCAGCTCCCATTGAGTTCTGCTTTGGCATGTTGTATCCCCATCACTCCAGTCTCTGAAGATGCCAGGCAGATGGGGAGGGGATGGAGCTGTTCTTCCTGCTTTTTTCCTTAGTATCACTCACAAATATGTGCTCTCAGGATTGGCAGGGCAGCAGCTTGTGGTTATGCAGCTCCCTCCCTATTCATGTCATTGGCTGTATAAAGGCTCACATTGCATTACCTAGTGTTACGACATTCCAGGTTTTTTCTCAATGGTGACAGCATCGCTGGTTCATTTATATTTTTGCTCAGAAATAACCTCTGCAGAAACCAGAGTTAATGATGAGTGTTTCAGCTATGCCTGTGTGGATTCAGAGGCTTCTAAAAATTAAATCCTCACAGCCATGTAAAAAGAACATTTGGATTTGAAGTCTGTCTTCTGTGAATCTACTTTAGCCCTTTCAGTGTGTATATACATCCTGACATTTTTTTCACAGGTTTTCTGCTTCATTAGTTTTTTAGAATAAACCATGCTAAATTATGAGTGGTTGCAGAGTGCTTTATTGTATCCTTATTCTAGGCCTCATTTACAACATTAGTGAGCCTTGCTCTGAAGACAGGTACTCATTTTTCTCTGGGGCTTTTCTATAATGTTTACCGCTCTGGTAACTGTATCTCTCATGAGCATTTAATCTTAATAGTAAGAAGGATGTCATTATCTCCATGTTGCAAGTGGGAGCTAATACACAGATTACTGCCAGAAGTTTTCCAAGTTCTTAGCATTACTTCATGTGTTCCAAAAGCAGCTCTTGTTGACTTTAGATGTAAAGGTGGATGCTGGTCATATTTGCAGTTTGGTACTGCATGTATTCTCAAATCTGATATCCAGATAATCAGAGATCACTTCCAGAATGTGGTCTGCGTTTTAACTGCAGTATCACAGGCAGCTAGGTGGGCCTAAGTTTTCTGCAGGTATGTGTGGGGAGATATTGCTCCCCTCTCTCACCTTCTGTCAGCTCTGTGAATTGATTTAACTCACGGATCTGGCAGAAGGCTATGCAGTCTTTTTGTTTGGTTATCCTCTGCCAGATCAATGTCTTGTGGAAGGGTCTGAAGATGCTGGAGCTGGTAGATGTGGTGGGAGTGTGCAGTCAGGAAAAGAAATAGGACCTTCTTTAAATCAGCTCACACTGTTATGAACTCATTCCCTTAGCATCACTCTGTTGAAAACAGGGATAAAATACTGTCCTGCTGGTCATTTCTCTGCTATGTTAGCCAGAAACTTACCTTTGCTTGCTTGCTGTCTTTGGTTACTGTTTACCTTCTGACATAGGCAGCTGAAGGAATGTAAAGAAATGCGCTCCTTTATTACACATTTTTACTCATTTCTGAACTTGAGCCTTGCTCTGCACTGATGCAGATGTCCAATGGAAAATAGTGTTTGATCACTTATTTAAGTACTGTATAAATAATGCATAGATGCAAAAGACAGAATTAAGGTTGCAAGTGTAAACTTCATTCTGACATTTCCCAATGTTACAGGGTTGACGTACTTGGAAGTAAAGTGTCTAGAGAGAGATTTCCCACGCTTTCAAGGAAAGCAGGCTATGAAGAACCCATCAGTTTCCATTGTGTGCCACAACACTGGTAATCTGCATGGTTCTTCAGAATTAAAATGGTTAGATTTGCCACTGTCCTTTACTTCTTGAGCAAGTGTGATAATTGATAGTAGTGAAGGGTTATCATCTAGTGTAGATTGGCACTTGAGGAATAAGGAGCACTTTGCTAAGGCATTTGAAAACCTTGAGGTGGATATGCTCATTTTGACTTGTTGGCTCTATAATGTCTGCTTATTAGCCTTACTTACCTTTCTTGTTTCTGCTAAGGTGGCCTCTTCCAAGAAATTGCAGTCTGTCTTCGGTGTTGTCCCTTGACAGTGTCATCTTTTGTTCTGTTCTTTAGTCATCTGTACTATCCAAAGCTTGTGGGCTGCTGCTCTCCCTCAGGTGAAATCACACCAGATTTCACCCAAATTAAATTGATAAAATCATCACATAATTGTCAAAAAGACATTAATAGGTTTGTAAATGGGATGGCTCATTGCTGGGTCAGCAAAGTGCCAGAGGAGGTGTAGAGGAAGAGCAGGTTCTTCCCCCTGTCAGCAGCAGTGAGCTACTAGGTTACCCCAACTATAACATGTAGCTTCATTCCTGGTGTGCTCATCCAGCTCCTGAACTCTACCCACATCACTGTCATCTTGTAAGGCTCATTCCTTCACTGAGTCAGGCTCATCTGTCACTGTACAGTCCAGTCCTGCGTCATCTCCATCTTCATCTGGTTTCTTCTGACAAGTTTCTACCCCTGGTCGTTTCTTCTGCTGTTGCCCCAAGTGATTCTGTCTCAGAGACCTGCCACTACCAATGGTGGCGTGCAATGGGTGCAGGTAATGCCTTGGAGAGGGTGTACACTTTAACAACTTACTCTCAAGAGCTTTATCTGCAGTTGGAATGTTCTTCTAGCCCTCTGCTGGCTAATCCTCACTTCAGAGTTGCTCAGTTGGTTGCCTTCTCACTGACTTTGAGACAATACTAATGCTAAGTGGCAATGATTGAATTTTATAACAATAAAAAATTTGAGGAAAGTAAAAGGCAGTAGCATTAGATCAGTGTTGCAGCAAACCTTTTGCTACAAAGCTGGAAGAGACAAATTAGGGTCTATGTGTATGTATTTCAGGCCTTTACTGGAAAAATACCTGAAAAGATTATATCACCTGCCCAAAAGTAAAAAAATTGTTGTTTATTTGCATCCTTCTCCATAATAAATAAAAGGAGCTGAATAACGATCACCTTGTATCTCTCTTATCTCCAAGTTTTATTGGAAATAAGAGGTAAACGGTGAGTGAACCCAAGAAGGACATGCGCTGACAAATGGAATAGCCTTAATTTAAAGCAACCATGTTTTCAACAGTGACTCCATGGTTTGTTTTGTTTTGTTATTTTGTTTGAAAGAGAAATATTTGAATAATCTGCATTCCTTCCCTGCTCTTATCTGATCTACTGATTTTGGAAAACTTCACTTGCAATGACAGGTTTTACAGAAACTGAGCCCTCCCTCTTCATCCTCCTTCTACCTCTTCAGTTATGATGACCTTCTGAGGGAAACCGAGAATCTGATAGTTATTTACCTCTTCCCTTCTCCTCAGAATAGTGTAGAGTTTTTTGGTATGTAGGGGATTTTTTTTTTTACTGACTTGAT